GGCATTGTCCATCTCTAGGTCTTCTACGTAGAACTCCAACTCATGGACGCGTTCATTGGCCGCATCCTCTCGTGTCCAGGCTTCATTCCTCAACTCAGTATTCTTGGTGACGTCCCTTTCCATTTCCGCCAGCTTCTCTTGATCTTTGGCATGAGCTCAACGAAGAGTGTTGAGCTCCTTGGTAATGTTCTCCATGTTGGTGGAATTGCTTGTAGATCCTTCATCTCCTAGGATCCTGGAACTTCCTTCACCAAGCTCACGGTTACGCGGTGCCAACTGGTGACAAGGGACTCTGTGAGGTCCAGTGGACTTGCGTGCAGTTATCTTGGTCTTTGCCATAGCCTGTAGAATTTAGGATGGGACTATAAGGATAGCTTGAGGATAATGGAGATTAGCAAGAATGGGATTGACATTAATTACCCAACCACTTTTAAGGGGAATCATTATGCAAGGTGTTCAAGCATGATGCATGAATCGATCCTACGAATCCGAGTACAAAAGATTTATACAATCAAAAGTACTAGATTTTTAATACATAGGACAAACCTAATCATATTATCCGCCACAAACTTTCAAATAAGATAGGATTGAGGCTAGATTAGAGGAAAGAAGAAAGAAATTTGAACCTTTAAAATATCAAGTTTTACTTTCTTTGATCCAAATCAATTTGAAGGTTTTCCAAAGTAACCTACAATGATCTTAGATAGGACCTGCTCTGATACCAGCTGTGGCAGAACCTCCTAAGAAATTGGGCCCACGTGCACCTATCGATGTCTCAACAGACCTTAGATAGCGTTCACGAGTTCCCAACAATTTAACAGGTCTGTCGGGTGTCCTCGGGAAACCTGAATCTTTCATGTTTCAAACAGGATTCCAATCATAGTCATTGCAGATTACAACATTTTTCAATATACATACCAGAGGTAATAAAGCGGAAGACTTAAGTTTAATATTACAAACCAGTTGTTTCAAACTTACATAACCATAATTGTTATACAACCATAGTAGCGAGATAATATTACATTAACATTATTTATTTCACACAAACTAGTGCCTTGTCCAAAGGCCATTCATCATTCCTCATCGTCATCGACTTCATACACTGACATGCAGCAGGGACCAAAACAAGCCTGCGCATGCGTCTCCCCTGCAACAAGGGTTAACAAACCCTGAGTACAAAAGTAATCAACAAGACTGACCCGACCAAAAAGGGCGAATGTCTTAGGGATGGAGGTGTTGGGTCAAGGTAAGGATGTAGAAAGATTCAAAAATTCTTTGCTAAAAGCTTACTATTCTTGATCCTAGTTTCAAGTTTTACCTCTAAGTATTTTAGTCCAATATCTCCAACTAAGTGTTTATATCCCATGTTCCAATCCTGCTAATTCCATTCTTTTTCTCATGTTTTAGTAATTCACCAGTCCTACATTGCTTCTGTAATGAATCGAGTCTCCATGTCCGCGGAGCACCGACAATTCGAATTGATTCAAGTCCCAGCTGGGGATTCCTTATCACACGACATATGTAGAACTTAATCTTGCATATATCAACCTCGCTACCGGATCCTCCCGTACTAAGCCGTCTCCACGCCACCCGAGAGCACAGCACATCTCAAATCCGGCCACATTCAAGCTACGAGGGTACACGCTACTCCCGCCATCTCACCACTCCCAGTGCGTGGGCATTCGTCTTAGTATCGGATTAGCCGAAGTAGGCTTACCGGAGTATGTGACTAGTACTACAAAGTGTCTCGTTCAGAAGATCCACAATGAGTGGCCTTTAAGCGACATAGTCGGCAACATTACCCAACATTCAAGATAAGCCACCCAACTAGTCTCTAGTTCATTCTACCTTCCTTTCTTTCTTTGGCCAGTATGCCATCTTTGATTATATCGAAACTTTTACTTTGAAAAGCCTACCATAAAGCATACTAAGCAATTCTACACCATTGTAAATGAAATCATCTTCAAGGATGGTAAATAATTAACAAGGTAGGCAATGCATCAAGTAGGTAACATTTGAATAAACAACTTAATGCGATAAGTAACATAAGTGATAAACTTTTCAAAGTAAACAAGGTAATGGTGTAATGCATAAACCGGGGCTTGCCTTCGATGACGATTTCCGGTTCCGGATTAGTACCACAATTATCAAATCCCGCGACAACCGGGGATTCTTCCAGAACTTGCTCAACTAGAATCGTTTCGTTCTCGGGTTCTACACGAAATGATAACATATGCTTTAACATGATGATAATGTAAACATGATGCTTTCACGGTACATGAAATGTAAAAACACCATAAATGATTTTATTTCACAAGACGGTTGCAAGCCAACAAAACCAACTTGCAATCCTACCATTAAGAACCATACATGTGACTTGACCAAATGGATCTTGGGACCCTACTAGTCACACTACACGACCCAAATCAAGATTAAACCCTAAACCTACACTTAGGGTTTACCTTTATTTATTTTTGAATTAATTTAGAATTAAGCTCAAAATGAACTTGCTCCAAATGATCTCAAAAATTTACACAAGCATCCTCATGATAAATTAGTGTACCAAAATAAATTTCATAATTTTTGGAGTTATACAGTGGCCTACAAAAATCATGGAAATTGCATTTATTAATTAATTGACTGAATTTTTGAACATTAAAATTTATCCAAATTTCAAATTTCAAATTTTTAAATCATACTAGAACATGTACAGAAGCTACACAAAAATTTTCAGAATTTTTGGAGCTATGATTATTTTTCTACAAATTTCCAAAGATTCAAGATACTATTCACAAATTCGAAAATAAAAAATTTTTTCGTTTCTTCTTCCTCACTCAGACCGACAAACTGGGCCATTGTCATTGTCAACGACACGAGAGACAGGGCACGACGGTATTGTTGCCAGCTCCGCCAGCAAAACGCGCGTCAAGAAGTGCTTCTCCGGTGAGACGGATTGTACCACCATGCTCTACACCACGTCGCGAATCTAACCCAATCCTCGTAATCTACGAAGACTCACGGGCGAAGCTCCACGCCGCCATGGCGGCTCGGGCATCGGCGGCGGCGGCGCACGACGTAACCACGGCGGACGATGCGAAGAGAGAATAAAGCGAAGTGATAAACACGTTCAGAGCTCACTATGATCACGATGGTGGACTCGGTGAAGACGGAGATGGTCCGGAGCACCGCGGCACGGAAGGAAGGGCGTCGTGGCGAGTCTCAACCGGTCTCGGGAAGACGGGTTGCGCCGGGTGATTCCGCCAACACACCGGCGATGAGAGCAAATCGAGGAGGAGCGCAAGACCGAGGCGATCACGTTGACGTAGCTGGGAACGACCGACGCGGCTCAACGATGCCTACGGCGAAGCGGCGGACTCTGTGATGGTGAAGGAGCAGAGAGGTAGGGAAGAATGGGAACGACGGCGGCGGCGATCGTAGCTATTTATAGCCGGAAGAAGGCGTCCGGCGCCGCCAACAAGACGGGCGGGTTCGCCACGGTGACATCGGCGTGTCACCGCGCTAGCAAGCGGTGAAAACCGATCGGCGGCGGCAGCTCGGTGTGGCGAAAGGGGAGGTGATGACTGTTCGGTTGATTTTGAATAAATTACAGAATCGCCACTCGAGACTATTTTTCGAATTACTCACAAATTTTCTAAAGAAGTTGAAAATCTCCAAAAATGAAAGTTGTTCAATTTTTCAAACTCTACAACTTTGCTTCTAGAAACATTTTCAAATTCTGCCTCCATTTTGAAATTTAAATTTGGGGTGCATTAGAGCATTTGAATCATTTCAAAATTACTTCAAATTTTATATGTAAACTTGAAAAACTTTGAATACCAAAGTTGATCCTTATAAAATAAGCTCCAACTTTGCTTTTTGTCAAAACTCCAAATTCCAAATGGATTTTGAATTAGTAAAAAGGGGCAAAAATGACTTATGTAATTTGAATATGAATTCAAATTTGATTTGTCTTCCTTTCACTTAGATTTTGATTTTTGACCAGTAACATGGCCCATTAGGATTATTTGAGTCAAAGGACATATGACCTCACATGATCACATGAAATTTAACCCTTGTGGTCATGATCTGTATTTAGAGTTTTTGAAACACATCACATGAAATAACAACTTATGAAACAAATCTTATTTAGTGAATGCATTCCAAATTTTCTTCTTTATGAATGCTTTGCAATGCATATGATGACATATCAAATTTTAGTATTAGGTCAAAACACCAGAGGTGTTACAATAAGCATCAACATAAACCAAATTTTAGCATCAGCAAACAGGGTGTATATGGGTTTCCTGCAGCTGTAAAATCATAGTGATGCCCCTTGTTGACGTGCCATAGAATTATTTGAAAGGATGGAAAGGTTGTGATTCATGAATGTCAGGGCCAGATTCAGAGTCTGAAATAATTTTGGTCACAGATGAAGGCTCATTAGAAGCGTATGAATCTCATAACAATATATAACACGTATATTGATCGAAAAAATAACAATATATAATATAATATAATTAAAAGGCTTGTGAATCTCGTTTGGCAATTGGCATTACAGATCTCATTTGGCAATTGGCATCAAATTATGATTAAAAAAATCCTTTGTCACAAGCTGCATTCCCAGAGTTTATGTGTATTACCATTAAGGACTCAACTCGAAGAACGCGCAGAGATTAACGTTAAGGAGTCAATTTTAAACACTTGTATTTCTTTTCCTACTTGTTGAGTTCCACGCATTCTCGTAATTATTAGTTTGATCCTGGTCCTACACTCCTACTAGTACTCCACGTCTCACCATTCACCAAGGCAATCGCTAATAATTGGGCTGAGATTACAGGTCACAGCGTCCTTTCACAGCCCAATGGCCTGATAGCGTGCGGGCCCACTTGGAGTGGTCGAGGCAAAGGCCGGCGTACTGGCCTAGTAGTCGCGTACGTAGAGCCGAGCGAGCGTTGCGGGTGCGGCTCACCGTGCACCACGCCGAGCCGACGACGAACCCGATGCCGCCCCACCGTGCCGGAGGGGCCGCAGGCGGCGGTGACACGAGCGCGTTCTTCGCGGCGACGCTAGTGCTCTTGGCTGTGTCTGTGGGGTTCGAGATCGGCGTGCGGGGGCGACGCGAGCTTGCGCCCGTGGCCGCCGGCTTCGCCTTCTTCCAGGCCGCCAACGCCGCGGTCCGCGGCTCGGTCTCCCGCGACCCGCTCTTCGTCAACACCGCCGTATCGCTCCTCCACTCCTCCCTCACCTCCGTCTCCGGTACAGATTTCCCCCCTTGCCTCCCCCAACCCCCAGCCTTGGTACCTTTTAGTGCTCGGTATGCGTCGACTGCAAGGAAACATACGATTAGTTCGATTCCAGCTTCAGATGAGTTTGGGAAATAGAAGCGCACAGAAAATTAACAATAGACAAAGCAGGTGATACATAACGTCTGAGTTCCTTGTTGGGGGACCGGGAGCAGCGTTGATTTAATTACTGTTGGTTTTGTCACTTGCTGCTTCCATGGTGGCAATGTCGTTTGTCTGGTGTGAGCTTGGCTTGGTTGAAGTTGTGCGAGAATACTGAAATTCCGTATTGGCGCAGGATTGTCCAATAGTAGCTTGTTATCGTGGTTCAGAACAACGGCGTTACAGGCAAATGCGCTGCCAAGTTTGGTCAAAAGTATTGATGAACCGATCGAATATACGCTCCTTTAAGCTGTATCACATTCTATTGTCTACTCTAGTACTCTTAAATTTGGGGCTGGCAGAGCAAAGAACTAATGTGCGAAGATACTAATAACAATGCATATGGGGCTTGTTAACAGACATCTATTGTCTACTCTAGTACTCTTAAATTTGGGGCTGGCGGAGCAAAGAACTAATGTGCAAAGATACTAATAACAATTCATATGGGGCTTGTTAACAGACAGGCACTTTCCACTAACACTTCTTAAGACATTCTTATAATGTGCAAGCTTTAAAGATGTTATACAAAGCACCATCAGTTACATCATGTCTTTAAATCTTAGGCTTGTTCATATGCTCTATTGCATTAGCTCATCTTTGAATTGATGCCATTGCCCTTGCAGTTATCTTTGTTCTTGTCCATCAATGGCGTAATAAGGGCCTTGAGAACATGTTTGAGCATGAAGAACTATTTGGTGGCAGTTGGATTGGAGCATATTCTGCTCTGTGCTTTTCTTGTGGCTACTTTGCCTATGACCAACTGGACATGCTCCGTTACCGACTGTACAGTGGATGGATTCCTGGAATTCTCATGCATCACTTGATCCTACTCATTTGCTTTACACTAGCTCTGTATAGGAATGTCACAATCAACTACCTAATTCTCTCCCTTGTATGCGAGGTACATCTATCTCTTCTCATTCTGGGGATGCATTCACTTTTCATGCTTGAAATAAAATTATGTCCTCTCTTTTATCATCTTTTTCAAGCATTGACTTTTTTACTCACTTTTCATTGAAGAAACACATGCACAGCAAAAGGGAATGCTTGCCATAGAATTTTTTGAGCCATTGACCCTAGTCTGCTTTTGAGTCTCCAGACTGGCAACTATTGTAATTTTGTCACAAAGTATAACATTAGCCAGTACATAGTTGTGTGCACCAGTTTTAACCCCAACTCTGTTGCAATGAACCTGAAATACAAGTTATATGCATTCTCCCTCTATATGGCTGCCCAGATGATTATATGACTATAGGACATTTCACTTTACCCTGCAATGTATAACAAATAAGATGGTTGGCCCGTTCCAAAATGTAGTTGTTTTAGTTTTGTACTAAGTCAAACTTCCGTAACTTTGACTAAGTTCATATAAACCTGCACTAACATCTACAACATCAAATTATTTTCACTAAATCTACCATGAGGTATGTCTTGATAGTGCATTTATTTTTGGTATTGTATATATTAATACATTTTTCTCGAAACTTGATCAAAGTTAGAGAAGTTTGACTTAAGATAAAATTAAAATGACCTAGTGACCTACATTTCAGAACGGAGGGAGTAACTATTTTGCCTGCCCACTTAGGCTTTCGACCACTGGCCTTCGTAGTTGCATCTTCGTTTTGACTATAGTGCTTTTATTGAGATTGAATTGGTGGCATGCGTGAATGCATCTGAGACCCCTTTTTTTGGCAACTTAGTTGAATTAATACAGGCTCTTTCTTCATCTTGCTGCAAGAGAATTTTGATGTGTTCAACTGTTCATTTATGTATATAAATAAAGTTCTCCCAGAAAAAGTAGTCAATCTCATCTTCCACTGTGAACAATTGATGCCTTTGCTTGATCACTATTTTATTAGGGTTCCCCGTAGTTGTTGTGATTTATCTAAATTACTAAGTTGTGTTCATAGAGCAGAAAACTGACAAAATTTATGATTGCAGCTGCACTCCATATTTTTGCATGTAAGGAAAGTGAGGCGGATGGTTGGATTTCTGGATTTCAACAGAACAATGGTGAAGCTGGAATGGGTACTCAACTGGACTACCTTTGTGACAGCAAGGGTGATATGCCATATCTTGATTACTTATAAGCTCATCGCTGATGCCCACAAATTTGGGAAGGGCATTGAGCTTCCTCTAGCTCTTCTTGGTATGGCAGGAATGAATCTGCTCAACATATTTCTAGGGCTCGATCTACTTAAAGCATTCACACGAGAAAGAAATCAGCAGAACCATCAGGATTGAATGCACCTTTCTTGATGGCGGTGTACTCTAAATTTTGAGAAGGCTGTAGTTCCGTTCTTATAGGGACAGAGGTGTGTTTAAGTCTTAATTAGCAACTACACTGGAGGCTATTTATGTATGCATTCTTTATGTATACCAACACGTGCTAATGCTAAGATCTCTACCAGAAAGGGTTGTTGCCAGTATGTGCATCCATGTAGGTATGATATTACTGTTCACTAGAAGAATGCAGGGGGTACCTGGATGCAGGATTTACATACATTTTGCAATTAGAAAGAACAGTAGTGTATCAAACCCTTTGGTCCCAACTCCCAAACCTCATCTAAAGTAAACCCCGAAGCAACTTGTGGATTGGCCCTGTGAGGCTACAATGCTCTTATTTATCTTTATAATATTTGATAATTTCTTGTTGCAAAGCAAATATTGTGTTTTTTGTTTATATGCATTGGCTCTACTGTATTACGGTTAGTGAAGGAAGTAAGTACTGCCCCCCTTTTTTTTTTGCGAGCAAGTACCGCCCCATTTTCTTGCCTTAAACCTGGACTGATTCATTTTGACGTGTTTTGGGTGGACCAACAAAGGAAAGCAGACCTGCATTCTGTATTGTATATGGATCTTATGCTATTTTCATTTTGACGTGTTTTTTGTTGGCCCACAGCGAAAAAAAAAAACTTCAGAAAAAAGGTCCCACCGGGATTCGAACCCAGGTCGCCAGATTCAAAGTCTGGAGTGCTAACCACTACACTATGGAACCACTTGTTGAGACTGATTTGCTGATATAGATATTTATCTCTATCATGGAGAACCAGCACATGGAACGAAACCCAATTTCCATTGGTCCGAAACCAACAGAATGGAACACGGGAATATCCGACGAATTCCTTGTAATTCTGTTGCACACGAAACAGCGTGATGCACCGCTATGAAATAAATCCATCTTTTTTTTGCGAAGGGAAGGAAAATAAATCTAACTTACAGCAACATTGCCACAGCGGGCTTTTTACTTGGTGAAAAGTTTTCCTTCAAAATAGATCTTCAAGGTTCAGAACTTCAGATACAAAAATATACTAGCAGTGAAAGTTGAAATTTCGTAGCAAGATCCAATTCATCTACTTAGAGAGAAACGAAAAGAGCACGATGCTATCTGCTCCATACATGATAACCGTCACTAACAGACAGTAGAATGCAGTCCTTGCAACTCAGCGCATGCCTCAAGGCTGGAGGGACAGAACAGACACTTTTTTTGCCTGACGCGTGTATCTCACCGACCGACCGGTGCCATCAGTTTGTTGCACGCCTGACGACGCCCAACGCGTCTCCAGCCGTACGTGCGGCCGGAGACCGCAGGAGCCGCACGCACTGGCTCCTGGGCTCCCTGGCCTCGGACGGCGCGGCGAGGCCATAGATTGGATTCTCGGCGACGTGGCCTCCTGGCAACCCATCCCGCACAGGCGCACCCTATCCTCCGCCTCGCCGCTCGCCAGTCGCCCAATCGACACCTCCAGTTGGCGCCACTCCAGCTTCACGCTGCCCGCGCCTGTGACCCCCATTCATTCATAAGAACGGGACACGCGGCCTCGGAGCCAGTAGGCAAAGGAGCCCACGACCACGCAGCCCGCAGCCGCGCGCTCGCCTACGACTACGAGTACACAGCTTCGATCCTCAGCGCGAGCGAGTGGCTGCTGCGCATTCCTCTCTTTCTCTGTGTTTGTGTTCGTGGGCACATATGGCGCAGTCCATGCTCATGTCGACCAGCGTCAACGGCGGCCGCGCGCTGCCGTCGCTGCAGACCGGCCGGCCGGCGCCATACCCGCTGCTACCGCTGCCGTCGTCGTCGGGCCACAGGCACTCCAAGTCCGTCTCCGTGAAGACCCTCGCCCTGTTCGGCAAATCCAAGGTCAAGACCGCGCCGTCGAAGAAGGTCCGTGGACCGTGGCTATCTAGCAACACGTACACTATTGCTGCTGTGCCGTGTGCATGCTGTGTCCACGCACGCATGCTCCTAGTTTTATTCTGTTCCTCTGTCATGTACTCATGTGTATGTGTATATGATGGTGTCAATCCTTTGTTGTACAGGCTGCTGCGCCCAAGCCCAAGCCGAAGGTCGAGGATGGTATCTTCGGCACATCCGGCGGGATCGGTTTCACCAAGGAGAACGAGCTGTTCGTCGGCCGTGTCGCCATGCTTGGCTTTGCCGTGAGTATATTTAGAAGACACTGACGCCCATGTTTTCCAGCTGCATGATGGAGTGTATTCATGCAAGCTTAGGAAGTAGTAGAAAAAAAATGTTCTTATATACTCTCCGTATTTAAATATATATGACGTTTAGAATAAGCTAGTTAGCTTTATTAGCTAATTAGCATGTCTTAAACATTACATTTAAAAATGGAGAGAGTATATCTTTTAGAGTTAACAGAGGCGATATCTTTCATATTGACCAAAATAATTAGAGTAGTGCACACCATCCATCTATGGTATTATATTAGGAAAAAAACAATATATAGCTTTGGCAATAAAGCATAGCCATTCAATTTTTGTGATAGCTACTACTGCTGCCGTAGCAGGATATGGTGGTCGCTGTTACGAACGGAAGCATGACCACATTCCACATTTCTGGGTTCCCACGTTATAAAATAACACTCAAGTTCAGTTCTCGTTTCCTCATGGGAACATGGCTGCTAAGTGTTACCTCTGAAGTTAGCAGCTGGGTTTCAGCTCCAGATGAAAATTTAGTAGGGAAAAAGAGGAGTGGTGGGTGGAAGAAAATCGCTAACGGTCAAAATAAAAGATTTACTCACTTAATTTGAACCCGAAATAAATTACTCAATTACTCCTGCTAGTTAGCAGTCTCCCAAAATAAATAAATTATAGATTGTCTAATTCATGCATTATCTTGTTATGGACAGCTACTCGTGTATGTATTATGGAGTATTGTCAGTTGAAACGAGGATTTATTAACACTAGTCTTGAACACGCATGGCAGGCATCGCTACTTGGAGAGGCCATCACCGGGAAAGGCATCCTTGCCCAGCTGAACCTGGAGACGGGCATCCCCATCTATGAGGCGGAGCCCCTGCTCCTCTTCTTCATCCTCTTCACCCTCCTTGGCGCCATCGGCGCTCTCGGGGACCGTGGTAGGTTCGTCGACGAGGAGGTCACCGGCCTGGACAAGGCCGTCATCCAACCCGGCAAGGGCTTCCGCGGCGCCCTCGGCCTCAGCGAGGGAGGTAAAAAAAGAAGAAGAAAAAAGAACTGCTCATGACACTTTCGCATGCAGCTGTCTCTTGTTCGTTGATTTGAACATTTTTTTTATTTAATGGTGGTGCCTGCGGTGCATGCGATGCAGGGCCGCTGTTTGGGTTCACCAAGTCGAACGAGCTGTTTGTGGGGCGGCTAGCGCAGCTGGGCGTGGCCTTCTCCATCATCGGTGAGATCATCACGGGGAAGGGCGCGCTGGCGCAGCTCAACATCGAGACGGGGGTGCCCATCAACGAGATCGAGCCGCTCGTCATCTTCAACGTCCTCTTCTTCTTCGTCGCCGCCATCAACCCCGGCACCGGCAGGTTCATCAGCGGCGAAAGCGAAGAAGAGTAGGCTGATCGATGCTGGCCTCGGACATGATGAGTGATGAGTAGTGTGCGCTTGGGTTACCTGTGATCGATCGATCAGCGTGCGTGTGTGTACGTGCTTTGTTGTGTATTAGTAAGCGTGATGAGACCTCGAAAGGTAGGGTGTCGTGTTGGGTTGTCTTGTAGAAACAAGAGCTTATGTTAGCTAATATGCAATGCTTGCAGGAAAGTGTTATTCTAGCTTGAGATGCATGGATGGAGGGAGCACATGTTCTCCTAGACTAGATCTTGTTGTTCAGTTCGAGAGATCATCGGCCAACCATCGGTATAAATCACACTGACCTTCGGTACTGAACTGCATTTCTCTTAGGCGCTCTCTTCTGTAACTCTACTCCATTTCCGTTTGGGCCTGTTTGTTTAGACTTTTTGAGAGCTTTTGATCTTAGCTTTTGGACTTTCAAAAAAAAAACTCACGGAAGATAAAAGCCTGGAGCTCACTACAGTGAGATTTTGACTTATTAGAGTTGTTTAACTTTTAGAAAATATAAAAACTAGTAATTAAAAGTGATCGAAAGCTCGAGGCCTAACTTTTGCCAGGCAAGGTGATTATGGCTAACGACGAAGTTCAGATATAAATGGGCCCATCCACTTGTGTGTGTATGGACTGGTAGGCCGGGAGTGTGATTTGAGCCCAAAGCAATAGCTAGGATGACAACTTTTGAGATCCCACATCACACGGGCCTTGGGCCTAATATCTGATCGCCAAACCTTTAAGCCCAATTAGTAGTACAAGTAGCCCTATCCTAATTCCTGGAGTATACTCCTAGTACTGCGGTATTACGGTTACAGGTAAACCACCGAAACGGCGGAACGCCATGCAATTGCCATCTCCATTCCTGTACTGGTACTGTGCCAGCCATCGACCCGACACAGGCACATGGACCGTTCGTTACCTGTCTGGCACGGCACATACCCACGTAAGCGTGCGCACTAGGCACATTTCCTCATCGGCAAGACGACGCATCTACGGAACGCATAATAGGCACCAACGGTCTCCTTCACCGGCTCCACGAGTCAGTGAGTTCTTGCAGCTTAGTGCTGCAAATCATCATGGACTCCTATCTATGAGGAAGAACTAGTCATAGCACAGCTCAAAGTGGGCTCTGTAGAGTCTAGACCAGGCTGCCAAAAGGAGGGGCCCTGCTGAATCATGCCATGCATAAGCTGAGCTCAAAAGATGCAAACCACAGCCCACGCATTACATGCTATTCTGCCCTTGTTTATTGATGCAACCAAAGATGGTGGTGATTGGTGAGGAAAGGAGCTGCTGCAGTCTCAGATAGAATCAGACCCCGATGATTTGATGGATCTTTTTTTAATTATTAAGCCCAGGGACGGATAAATTAGGCAAAAGCAAGCAAGTGGGATTTGGAGAGCTACTCGTATAGAAACACCCACCAAACTGTTGCTTCGCTGTTTGCATTGGTCGTTGTTGCTGGCTTTCGACGGGCCGCCAAATTAATTGAAATGGGGGTTTCTTTGCATAGATCGTCCCACGCCACACGCCACACGCCACACGCCACACGCCAAATTAAAAGGGTGTCTTCTTTTCCCCCCAGGTTGGTTAAGGGACTGCTTGCTCCAATTAGCTACTCCCAGCTGCGAGATTATGCATGGGAACATATACCAAACGTACCCATGGGATTGGCTCTTCCCTTCCAATATTCTTCGGATGGATTTCAGCTAGCTCTTCCATTTGAGGGGGAAAAAATTCTCGTTCGAGTCCACCATGCAATTCGTCTTCAGTAACTGGGGTGTCGTGGAGGGTTCGGAAAGGCAGCACAAAGGACGACGGCTGGAAGAGTGGTCCTGAGTTCCTCGCATCTTTTTAACTGTTTTGTAGGATGATCCGTTAACTCTCTCGCTCGCTCTCGATGGAACGGGAGAGGCTAGCTAGCGCTGGTGTCGAAAACGGCACCGGCATGGCCACACAGTGTCACAATGTGCAACTGCAAGGAAGAGAGACCGACCGCTGTGCAATCGTAATCGTACTATACATGGATGGATGGATCGATACGCGAGTTGTTTCAGCCGGGCGGGCCCCGGCATCACATGGGATGGACCGCAACAATGCTGGCGCATACACGAAACAATCAAGCCTTGAAACAGTCGCACGTACACTCTCTCGACTAGCCGATGAGCTCGTTCGCTGGTTAGTTTCTTGATTGATAAATTTGATAAGTATTAGTTTGTTGTGAGAGAAAAACATTGTTGACTGACTGATAAGTTCTGACTGAAACTACTCAGCGAACAGGTTGAAGGTAAGAGCAATACTGATCATGTGTATATAATCAGCCCGTGATCTGTCAGGAAATTCGCACGGTGGGCCGGCCTTTCGGATTCCGAATGAATCTCGCTTTACGCCGACGGACGCGTGCGTTCGTGGGGTGGCCTTTCCAGGTCGGAGAGAATATACGACCGTACTATAATATATGACGGCGAGATCAAAAGCCGAACCCAATTTCTATTTCGGCGATCAGCGGGCCGGGACGACTGATGAAAAAGGTTTGATTAATTAGACACGTATACGTAGGCAAAAGTATCAGTTCAGACAGACGACCATCGGTCGGTACGCGTCAGCAACCTGTGCGTGCGTGTGCCGTGCCTAAACACTGACCGCTACGGCTTTGTACCGATTGCACATGTGGCCCCGTACGTCGTCATGTGTGCTGCGTTGCGTTAATCTTGGATTATCCCAAAAGATTTGGCCGCTCCTCCGCGCTGGGGACGGGACGAATCCGCGGCGACGTACGTGACCGGGGCAGGAGGGCATGTAATGAGGCAGCTGTAGCTATGCGGATCCGGCCATGCGCCACGTCGGCAGCGTGCTGCATCAGGTTGGTCGTCGCAGGCTACCTGCTGGGTGCTGGCTCTTTCTCGCCTGTCGCTTGCGTGCGTCCCGGGCGGTCCCGCCGGGCCACATGGCGGCCCGGAGTTGCTGCCTTCACCGCGAAGAACCTCTGAAAATAAAGGAACGAAAGGAAATGCAGGTGCCGATTTGATCCTACTACTCCCTCCACTTGTGCCCGCGTCTTTGGTGTTTCAACATTCAGCGTTCAACCCATGACCTGGTTTGGTTATTAACTACTCCAGGTGTAGTTTTTTTTTACTTTAACAATTTTACTTGATGATATATGTCGGTGCGAAATGAGCCGGCAATTAAATATTTTTGGTTTTACCGTACGCTGTGATCGGATGTGCCATAGCACACGATGACACATGATTTATACTGGTTCAGATAACGTGCCCTACATCCAGTTTCAGTGGGTCGGTGACTTTATTCCTGAGCACAGGTGCTCGAAGTTTGTTGTGGGGTTACAAACGAGTAAGGAATGAGAATGGGGTGTTAGAGGCCCGGTCGGACTCTGATCCGAGTGGAATAGAGTGACAGATGATCAAACGTGCGCTAAGTATTGGAGCGTATGCTCTGTGTGTTCAAGCTTATCCACTGTTGAGAGCGTAGACTGTGTCCTTTTAAGAGAGAGCGCATCCCCTTTTATATATGAAGGGGTGGCCTTACAAGTCAAAGACGGAAAGGGCGAGAGTGTGTATGGGTGCTACCTGGTCTTGTCGCCCACGTCGTCGGGTACGGCATGCCATCGCCCGCCATACTGTTTACGCCGCCATCGCCACCTTACTGTTCATGACATGTTGTAGCTGACAGGCTGCACAGTGTTCGCCTGAGATGGCAAACGACGGCGCCCACAATACTGTTTGTGCTATGACGCGTTTGGTAGATTGTATAGTGTCCGTCTGACATGGCCTGATATCACCGTCCTGCAGGTGCGCAGGGCATGGCAAGTTACGGTCCTCGGTATTGCGGTTGACTTGAGCCACCTTATCTGCTCCGCCTGCTCCCCGGGCCCACACCGAGCAGGCGTCCTGGTCGGTCGTTCCCAGTCGGTTCCGACCGTGTCGGTCGGGAAAGAGAGGCGAGCAAAGGTTCAACATATCCTCGGTCGGAGGAACAGGATCGGAGTCGGACTACGGTCCCACCACGGCTAGGCCTTTCGGTCGGGGCTCCGACCAGGTCTCCTTGCCGGAGGTGCCGGTCGGGGACCGGATCGTGGTCTAGGTCTGTCATTGTGTATCTGGGCCGGTCCAGACGCGCGCTATCGCTGCACCACCTACTAGGCTAAGTATTGCAGAGAAACAGATTCATTGGGACCTCGGGTTTATTAACCCAACATAAAACCTGTCTTTCTCTTCAGATATTCACAATTACGTAGTACGGACTACAAGATACCAACGTTAGTTTTTTTGGGGGGGGGGGGGGGGGGGGGGTTGGGGCTTCTGTCGTGATCATAGGACATGCTGTGTGGTCAATAAACTGCGACTGGCGAGCCTGCATGAAGCTATATATACATGACCAAAAACATGTCACCCTTTCTGAACTCTGGAGCCTGGAGGGCAGGCCCATCATGCTTCTGCGTGCTATTAGCACACTCGTATCTTTGTGCCAGCGAATCACGGTGCTTGTCGTACAGTATATGATGACCGCATTCACAGTGCTTGTCGTCCAAAACGTATCCAAAAACTACTAGCGGCATAGGCATACACACACACACACGATCGTACTGGAAGCTCAAGCAAAGACGTCTACCACTGATTGACTTTGACTGATGCAGGTTGAGTTGCCGTTCGATCTTGTATATCTTGCGATAGCCAAGTAGGTACTGTAGAAGTAGTAAGCGCCCAGTAGTGCATCCCTCCGATGATGTTTACGGCCGCATGGTGCGTTGGTTGGACAACTTATTAGATAGACATGACGGGCCGTTAGCATCACTCTAATTGACACTTTGCAATGCAAAGATCTTCATTCACTAGCACACGCGGACACGCCTCAGTGCCTCACATCACCGACCACCCCCTTCCATGCAAACAAACACTGACTATCTCCAACAAGTAACTCATATGAGCATTTAAATCTAAAATGTCAGCAAGAGATTCAAAATTAGCCTCCAA